TATTGGTTTTATATTGCATTTACAACAAGTGATATATGTTTTCTGTGATATTTCTGTTTTATATTTGAAATACTTTTATTGTTTTAGTTTATTTCTTAGTTATTTTAGTTATTTTTATCTTAGTATTAGGAATACAACTTATATTTTTTTTTAAAACACATTTCTTAACCACTCATTCACGTTAAGTCAAGTAATATTCTTGTTTGATTTAACTGGTGACGACATATTTATTAAATAAATATTTAGAATCTAGTTAGGTTAAGCAACCATATTACAATGTACTCCTCTATACATCTTGTTATCTGATTTATTTACCTATTTTTTTAGAGATGTTTCATAAACTTCTATTAGTCTAACTGTATTGTCAAAAGTTCATATTACTCTTTATTTAGGAATTTTCAAGTAGGCTTCTGACTTTTTAGTTCCTTAGTTTACTGTACTTGATAGTCTTATCATGAGTTTGCATCGAAGCCTTATATAATATTAATTATACATTCCTCTATATATGTATAATATTACACTTCACATAGATGCTCTGAGCTCTCATTTGAGATGATACTCAACTACTATACTATGATTGCCATCTTTTGAGATTATCTATTTTTATTATAACTTTTTGTTATTTTTATTAAAATATATTAAAATTCTATTTTTAATTAGTTAATTAAAATTTAAGAAATATATTTTTTAAAAATTAAAGTTTTTATTAACTAAAGATTTTTTGAATCTTTAATTAAAGTTGTAGAACTTATTTTTTTTAATTCTAATAATAATTAAATTATTAAAATCAGTTTGTTAAATTTCAAGTTATTGGAGATCAAAAATGAGAGTAAAAAGATTTACAAATTACCATTATACAAAGTACTATTATTAATAAAACTTTATATAACTGGCAATTTGTAGATCCTTTTTGAATTCCAAATATCTTGAGATTTATTAGACTGATTTTGATGATTTAATTATTATTAGAATCAGAAAAACAAGCTTTACAACTTAATTTTTTTTTAAAAAAAAATAAAACTAATAACAAATTACAAAGAAAAACATAACTTTCTATATTATATATTATACAAAATCTCAAATAATATATATAAAGAATTATGAATACCATGATGCAAAAAAACTGCTAAAAGTCAGTTTAGATCGCAGAAAAACTAGTCTGAGCTCTTATTCTTGCATGTAATTTTTATTTTGTTACAAACAACCTTAGTTTATTTTAGTACTTCTGTACTAAAATATACAGTTAAAAGTATTAATAAAGATATGAGCAAGGTCTTACCTTAATATCAAAAAAAACTGCCAAAAACACTCAAAACAGAAAAAAAAGTGTAATAGCAAACATGGCCTGGAATACATTCTATGAAAAAGTATGGAAAATCTGATGTGAGAAGATTATTGAATGAGAGAGAAAAGTAGGAATAACAGGTAGATTAAAAAAGTGAAAGAAAAAAAAGAAGACAAGAACATACAAAAGAAAAAAGGCAAATCAGCAAAAGATAAAAGAAAAGAAAAAAAGAACAAGAGAAAAAGAAGAACAAATTAGAACAGAAACACAGAAGATAATTTTGGGACTTGTCATAGAAGAGAGAAGACCCTTCTATTATAGACTTTAAGTAGTTAGACAAGTAACTTATTTCTGCTTGAAGTAATGTGACAAGTTGCACTTAGGTACCTCTAAGGTGGCCGGGTGATGCTAGACTTAGGTGTTAAGGATATTTATGTAATTGCAAATGTAATTTCAAAATCTTAATAAAGTACTAGCATGACTGCTTAAGGGAAAAAAAAAAAAAAAAAAACAGAAAAAACAAAAAGAACAAAGAAAACAAACCAAGAACAATTAGACAATACAAAAAAACAAATAAAAAAACAGTAACTAATTAAACAAAAAACAAAATAAATAAATAGGTCTTATTGTTTCAAAAGTACAATACTCTTCTAACAATATCATAAACTAAGGTTTTTAACTCTGCTTAGCAAAGTATGAATTGTAGGTAAAGTAACCTAAGTTTTAGTTTCATTAGAAGTAATATATTACTACATGTAAATATTGATGTACTGTATTACATATGTTAAATTTCAATAAAGAAACTAAGGCAAGACCTCACTTTTAAACCAAAAAAAAAAATCAAAAATCCTTGCATAGGATTAATAACACTAAACGAAAGCCGGAAAGCATATTTGAACATGAAATTTTAGATACGTCGATCATTTGACAAATTTACATGTGACGTATCGTGTGACTGTTAAAGGTTTTCCACTCATTATACCCTAAAATTAGAAATCAAAAAAGTAGTTAAATATTTTCGCCGATTTCGACATACAAAGATATTTTCGCCATCCAAAAATATATTTGTCATTCGAAAATAAATTTCGACGTACTAAAATATTTTCGGCATACTAAAATAATTTCGAAAGAGCAAAATAATTTAGACACCCATGTATAACAATGAGCAATGGCTACAGCATCTTTTTGATGTATTAGCAGAAGATGAAGTTGATCACTATTCAAATCGTCTTTATTATGAAGGAGAAACTTGTGATCCAAAAGGTATAGACAGAATGTCGGAGGATGATTACGCCGCATTCATTCGCAAAGGTATGTATGAAAAACAACATAAACAGGAGTTAAAAGAACAAAGAAAAAAAGAAGAGGAATTTAAACAGAAGCAAAGGGCAAAGCAGAGAAGAATGGCGGAAATGCAAGCAGAACAACAACGGTTAATGCGTCATTACCAAGCAGAACAGATACGCCTGCAAGAAATGAAACATGAAAGGCGAGCCTCATATTTAGCTCGTTGGAATCAATTTGATATAAATGGACAGTCATCTATTATGTTCAAAGATATTCCATGGCCTACTGCTGACATAAAAAGACTATCAAAAGTCGACGTAGAGGATTTTTTATTATCAACTATTAAGGATAATTCTGAAATAAGATCTATATTGCGTCAGGAACAGATCCGTTTTCATCCTGACCGTTGGCATCGATGGATTAAACGAATGCCATCCGAAAGACAGAAAAAGAAAATAATGGAAACTGTTACTGACATTTCTCGTATAATTAATGTGTTGTGTGAAGAAAGATGTACTTAAATACTACAATAAATTGATTATTCAGTGTTGATTTCATATCCTACAGGTTTATCTTCATTCCATCGTATATAATTTAAATTTAAACTAAATAATTTATAATATAATTGTCAATATGTACCAACTTCTAAATGCAGATATAACTTTCAAAGAAAAAAACAAATACTTTTAGTAGACTATTATTATTTTCTCTTAAACCTAATTGCGGGAACGTTACCAAAACTTCCCTGACTAATATTCAAGATGGCTACAAAGTAATTTAAAAATGATTGTGATATAGACAATTGTAAGCAATAATATATAAAAGATGCAAACTTACTATTTTTTCTTGGTAATCTTTTACCATAGAAGTGTTTATCTCTAAATTCTACAACTCCTTTATTAACTGGTCTTTGTTCATTATGTTTTGGATCGTCCAAACTAACAACAGTGAACAGACTGTAAAACAAAAAAAAAACCCCATCAATATCAAGAATGTAGATTTATAATAGGATCATATCAATGTTAATATACCTGGAACTAGTCTTTTTTTTGGTTTTTTTTTTCTTACGTGGTGGTTCTATATATTCATCTTTTGTCTTTAAGATTTTCATGTTCGGAAATAATATCAACTCTAAGTCAACAGTTAGGAATGTAACATAACACTGTTATTGTCATACGTAGTAAAAAAAGGCAATAAATGTAATTCTGCAATGCATATTTTATATTGTGCTTGATCGTCAAATCAAAAAAAAAAAGCAAACTAGAATTGTCTTATTTGAAAACCAATTCGTAGAACCGTTAAAGTTAACACGGCTGCATGATATCAATCGTAATAAGGTTCGAGTTAACTTTTAGATTCGCTTTTAATCCTTAAATTCGCCAAAACTGAGTTTTTTTCTTATAGATCCGGAAATATTTTATGAAATTTAAAATTTGGCTTTGAAGACAACCAAATAAAAGAAGATCTCGTTTTCGAATGTAAGACTAATAAAACCAACGAACTTGAATTTGCAACAATTTAGAATCATACTTTTTTTTGAATTTATTATTAATTACAAAATATTTCTTTAAATGAATTATAACATTGTTTGATTGTATTGTATGAAATCAGATATTAAAGCCTTTGTAATAAAGACGAATAATTTACTTGATCTTTTTATCGTATTTGTTGGAATAGAAAAGGGTTATGGATCCAAGTACTCGCAAAAATGGTGTGCCAAAAACGCAGAAAGCTAAAATTCCACCTACACTAAAGCCAAAACCTCCTAAACTTTCTACGACACCTTCAAATAGAATTGATAGTGAGCCAAATTCATCATCCACTCATAAACAATCGAGTCCGAACACAATAATGATCCGTGGACCAAATATTAATAGGCTATCAAGTGTTTTCGAAGATCCAAATCTAACAGCAGATCAAACGATTATCAAATCCCGTGTCGCCCCGTCGCTTCCTTTGTCACCAAAATTGCCTGTCCCTATGGTTAAGAAAACTTACATAAAAAAATCCATCTCACGTGATAATATTGCGAGTGAGAAAAAGGCGAATATTGATGAATCTTCATTAATATTTGATGATATCAAAGCGAAATTTCAACAAGCTGACGAAAGTGATTGTGCAGTGAGTTTACGAGTTTTAATATTTTTAATAGATTTGATTTATTTCTTATGTGATTATTTCAAACTAATTTCATTTCGGTAACTAAAAGATTCCTATTCAGACAAAAAAATTTGCCAGTAATCGTTCTATTGTATTATCAAAAAGCCCAGATGAAATAGTAAGTACACCTACTAGCTTACACAAACGTACAAGTAATACCAATATTAAGGAAACAGGCTCATTCGCTAGTAATGAAAATGGTATCGACCTTGATTGGGTTGATATACCATATATTAATAAAGTATTAGAGATGAATGAGGAAAATAATTTAAATGATTCAGATATCATGTCACAAACATCAAATTCATCAATTAGTAAAAATCTTGGGAGAAGTAATTCACATAGTGCCCAATCTTCAAAAAGAAATTCTATTGTTATACCATCAAATGATTTTGAAGCGAAAAGAGCTAGCATTGCGAATTTACTTTCAGGATCATCTCCGATTTTAGTACGGCCCAAGGATTTACACCTAGAGACCTCAAAAGCTTTACCTCCGATACCAACGCGGTCTCCCTCACAATCTCCATCTATAAAATTCATATCTCCTATTTCAGATACAAATGGTGGATCCAAAAGCGAAATATCGTTGACAAGTTTTTCAAGCGAAACAACACTTGTCGAAGAGGATGAATATTCAATTGATCTAAAAAGGCGTAAAAAACTGTGGAATGTCATAAAAGAGTTAGTAGAAACTGAAAGGATTTTCTTTCAAGACATGGTACTTTTGGAAAAGGTAAATTTAATTAAAACAACCTTCAAATTTTCATCCAATTGAATATTATTTCTAAATATTTGTCCTATAAGGTTTATTTTATACAAGCACAAGAAGTTCCTATTTTCAACCCATATGATTGTAAAACAATATTTAGCAATCTTCCGGATATAATAGACTTTTCGGAGCATTTTTTAAATTCATTGCTTGTAGCTAGTGGAATCGGGGAAGCAGATGATGACCCTGAAAAACATTACGAACTTGAGAATGATAATACAAGTATCGGAGAGGAGTTTGCGCGGATGGTAAGAATATTTATCGTTCACAACTCTTATTATCAATTTTTTGATTTTCATATTTGTTTTAACAGATGAAAAAGTCTCAAGGTGAGGATAGCAGATTAGAGGCAGTTTATGGAGAATATTGCAAAAGACATGAAGCAGCCGTTCAGAAACTTCAGGAATTCGACAATGATGAAGAAGTTCAAGGGTTTTTACAGGTTTTTATATAAATATCGGTTTATCACTGTTCTGGCAGATAACGTTTCTGACTAATTTTTTAAATGATATTTCCGAAGAAATGTAAAAGCCAATGCGAGGGTCGAACGAGAAGTTGGGATATTGCCAGTCTTTTAATCAAACCAGTGCAACGCGTATTGAAATATCCGCTATTATTGCAAGTAAGAAAAGTTCAAGTGCAATTATGAACATGTAAATATTATGCTTTACTATGTTAACTTTAACTTATTATTTACATATATTTATCGCATGTTTATAGCAAATTTTGTCCCTTACAAAACCTTCACACCCAGATTATGAGCATCTTAAATTTTCTTTTTCAGAAATTACGAAAGTTGCAGAACGTATTAATGAAATAAAAAGGCGCAAAGATATAGTTGAAAAAATTGTGGGCAGTAAAAAAAAGTCAGATGCGGATGTGAGTGTTTTTCTGTGCATTTATTATATTTAATTGAAAGCATAAGCATGAATACTTTAACTAAAATATTTACAATACGTAACTAATTGATAAATAGGTTCTGTGAGTATTTATGAGTATGTAAATTTGGTTCTTTTTTCAAGATTGGATTATAATATCTGTGTTGTTTTAGTCATGGTATTACGAAATCATTTACAAGAAGAGGTCAAATGGTAGGCGGTTGTATCGTTAGTTTTACGTTTTAATTCGAAAATACTAATGTATGAATAATGAAATAAAAGATAAAGCATGCTACTGGTATTGCAAAGCCTACTGAAGATGAACTCTATAAAGCTTATGTGACCAAATTTAAAACTTTAGAACAAAAAGGGATTCAACTAGCTAAAGATGTGAGAAATTGGGTAAAGCATGTTAAAAGTAAGTACAATGTGATACATGTATTTAATTGCATATATTTATATTATTTTTATGTTCTACAGTGTTTTTTGAAGACCAGCAACGCTTGGCAGCTGCAATCGAGGACTTTTATATATTAGGAGTTGCTGCTAATAAAACTTCGGATGATTGTATCAGAATTGTAGAATATGTAAAAGCCATCAGAAGCTTTTCAATATCATGCGGGAAAGAAATGGTACATGTTAGTTCTTCCAAATGGCATAAACGGTTAATAATTATTAACTAATGTATGAACAATGATAGGAAGACTCGATAAAGAAAATAATATATCCTCAAATTGAAAAGAGTTTAGATCTTTTTAAGGCACCTGCAGCTGTAATGAAGAAAAGAGAACGAAAAATTTTGGATTATGATCGGGCTAATTCAATTAAAGCTAGGGGTGCAACAGTAAGTAGCATATATATTCTTTTAATGTGTATTGAAGACTTTGCATATATTGATTTAATTAATATTTCTTTTTAATAACTGGAAATATTTTATTAAGCCTGATAAAACGCTTCAACAATCTGCAGACGCTTTTGTGTCGATTTCAGCTCAACTCCATGAAGAATTACCCATGTTTTTTATATACATAACTGAATATTTTGACATAATTGTGCATGAATTAATTAAAATTCAGGCGAAATTTTACAGGCAGATGGATATGGATTTCCGACAATATTTTTATAAATTTGTAGACATAGAGGCCTTACAGCAAATATCTGATGATAGAGAATTGGTTCTGAGGGATATAGATGTAACGACAGAATATACAGATTATTTCCATGGTTCATTAGGAATGGAAGATCGATTAAATAAGTTGTTTATTTTGAATAGTAAGCAAGGTTTGTATTATTGGACAATGATATTTGTAATTATCGCATGGTGTGCAATATATAACTTTCATATGTCATTTCAGATGTCATTTCAGATGTCATTTCAGATTTTACTAGCAAACACAGAAATGGTCGAAGATCTAGTTTTTCAGAGTCACTTGGATCTTCAGGTTCGTCAAAGCAAGCAGAAGATTCGCAAAATCGAACAGGTAATTGATTGTTTCATTTTTAGAATTAAATAGGACTTAGTAGTCAGGAGATGAATGTTGGTTGACGTTGATAACCTAGATACATTTTAAAGATAATGATAATTAAAAACTTATTATTTTTAGGACGGTCGCCATCATGGTATTCGGATCATTCACTAAATAGCAGAATACAAAACTCCTTTGGATTTGATGACTCAGATAATGAGAACCGATCTAAAAACTTTTTAGACGACGGTTTTAATTTTCAGGAAATTAAAATTAGATCACAACAACGGTATAGTGCTCACAAAAAGTATGCTACTGATGGTGTTATAGATCGTCGTTCATTAGAAGATGATGACGATGATGTGTTTCATGATTCCTTGACCGGCGAAGAGGATGACGAATCCCTATTTTTATGTCAAACTATTCATACAAATAAATCGAAAGAAAAAAATGAATTAAACTTTAAACCAGGAATTTTGCTCAAAATTATACACATAGATGAGAGTGGAGAGTGGTGGTTTGCAGTCAATGAGGATACTGGAGAGAGGGGATGGGTGGATCCAGCATTTGTTGAAAGAATTGGTTAATTTTTACACTGAAGAGGTTTTTTTTTGAATTATTATACTTTTTGCCAGTAGTTACTAATAACCATAATAATTTCTACTGCAATTTAGGGGTTGAGTGTAGTTTTAGTATAAAATAAAGGGTTTAAAGAGCATAATATAGGTTAGTTTAAAAGTTCTCAAGGTTCTCAGGGTATTGGCATTTTTACTTAGTACCACGAACTTGATTACTTAGTGAATTTTGAGATATAAAACTCTGGTAATCAATAACCACTGTCGCAAGTTAAAATTATCCTTTTTTTAATAATCTGCATTTAGCATGTATACATGTATAAAATCGTAACAAGTTTTATATTTTTAGATCATTTTTTAGTTAATAAGTTTATAATAAGTAACTTCTATTTATTAATTTTTACTTTATAAATTTTTTTTTCTCTTTTGTATTATATTTTCTATAGATCTTTTTACCTAATATATTTTATATATGTAAATTATTAATCAGTCTTATACAAATTATAAATAAACAAGCTATATAATGAAGCATGTATTGGTTTTTTTTTTAGCAATTAAAGTGTAGTTAGCTGTTTAGATAATGTATTAAAAGTATTATCATTGCACAATCTTTCCAGCATTTAGGCTTGTCTGTATCACTTTTTTAACAACATCACATCCCCACTTAACTACTTCTTTCTCCTCCTCTTTTAAAATATCTCCCGTTTTAACAAAATGGTGTAAAAAAAACATTATTCCTTGCGCCAACATTGGAATATGGACCACATTTATAAAAATTTTGGCGAGTAATTTAGGATAACGTCTATTAACATTTTGAATTAAAATAATGTTCGAAAAAAGGAGTTGGAAAAATAAGCAGCTTTGAGACTGCAATTTAGTAAAAGTGACAGTCTGTAAAAAAAGTAAATTAGGTTAATTGTTTATTTTTAAGTTTGTTTAATTTAAACTTTACCTTTAAAATTATAATAGACAAGCCTCCATTTACAATTAACCAGGCAAAAAGCTTTGCTAAATTAACAATCCTCCTGAGTGAAATTTTTTCAGATGAATTATTTTCAGGCATGTTGTTCATTGTTTCACCTATTCCACCAATGTCACCTTCACCACATTCTCTGAGAAAGTCCCACAGACAGTATTTGAAAGTTACTTTAAAGCTGTGATCATAATCACAAAGACGTTGAGCAATTAGAGAATAGTATGGATTAGGTGTGTTTTCCTGAAAATAAAAGCGCGTTTGTTAATGTATGATTTTAATAATACGTTTAAAATTTTAATCATAAGTTTAGATATATTTTATAAATACATTGCCGCAGCAGTGAAGTAAGACTCGAGGGATCTCTCGCGCTTGAACTTCCTTTAAACCAAGTTTTAACAGTCTCTCGAATGCATCAATATAGTCCTAAGCATTTAAAATTAGCTTCATAATGTTAAAGATCGATCGGATGAATCATGTGTGATTTACCTCACTACTCATCAAAACTATAAAAATACTTCTTCGAACATCAGTATTCATTTTTTGTTGCTTAGCCAAGTTTAAAAGAGCCTCAGAAACATAGTTACTTTCCGGATGTCGGGATAGAGATGTGGATTGACTATCAGTCATATTAACAGTACATGACGAACCAACAAGCCACCATTTGCCTTTTATAATGACAAAGATTAAATCATGTTTATGCATGAAGAAGAAAAAACGTAAACTTACCTTTAGTGTCAATTGATCTAATATCATAAAGACTAACTCTCAATGCTTCAGTCGTCTGAACTTTGGGGCATAATAAAGAGATTAAGATTGGGTAGAAATTTTACGAATAATTTATATTTACCATGAATCCTCTTGCCTATATTTGCAAGGAATTTCTTCATTCTTAATATGCATTCCGTATTTACAACTAAAGACTGCTGTTTTAGGCGATTATTTTTTAAATTCATGATTGTTTCAATCATGAATTTTGTACGAGACCTGTTTATTAAAGGGTGGTTATTTCAAATTTAAAATATGTATCACTAAAGATCAATGACACTTACCCAAAACTCTTCGGATCTTTCTTACTTATTTCAACCTGGACTTGTTGAATAATTTCCTTCAAAGCAGAGGGATCATCTTGTTTAAGTTGATATCCTGAATCTTTCTTATACAGTTAATATAAATGATGATCTTGCATCCATTGAATATTCAATGACAACTTACTTTTAACAATTTTTAACAATAATTCTACATTCAGATCGGTCAAATCCATGATAAATAACCGAATTATATCATAAATCAATATACATGAGACAACTCGAAAGTTATAAAGTTCGGAAATAAGAACAATTAAATTTGTGCATTCTTTGCCACCATTGGCGTCAATGTCTTTTATATCTATTGACTGATTAAATTGGCCATGGAAAACCTCAAACTCTTCAACAAGGGCTTGAATGAAATTTGCGCCTTTTATAGAAAGTAAAAACACAATATCATAAATATCCAATTATGTAGAAATAAAATACCATTATTAACAGTCCATATATTTAAACCTACAAAAATCTACTCCTATAGTCTTATACAGTGCGGCGGCAAAAGCGGCATACAAGATTACAAACTGATCTAGAAGCATTGCCTTTGATGAAATCATATTCAAAACGAGCTTTGTAAGTGTCGATACCACATCTATAATTTATTAAAGAAATGTTAAAAGCGTCATGATATTTTTTGCAAATCATGAAGATCATTAGTGCCCTAGTCATGACGAAAAAATTGTTAAAATGAGATTCTATTCGAATAGCCCTGGTTAGTGTTCGAAATTGGTGTTCTCAGTATAAATTATTTTTTTTTTCTATTGTTCACTATTAAAAGTTTTTTATAAACATTAAAATAATAAGTGTTCTCATCTATAATATATATTTTCCAATATAGATTTGTTTTTTTTTGTATCAAATAATATTTGAGAACACCTATAGCTATTGTACTGTTCTCATGAAAACAGCATAAATAAGTCTGAAATTTCGACGCTATCCTGGTCACGTTCTCTATGAAATCAATCCATGTGTAATTTTTTCAAACTTTGAGCGAAGGTATCTCGATGAATACCTATCTAAAAGTAATAGTGATACAAAGTCGAAATAATAAATATTTCATCATTTTTGACAAGATACCTTCGCTCCAATTTGAAAAAAGCTTAAACCACTGCATCTGTTTTGATGATTACCACCGTAAAAGTGCGTATAAAAGATCCCTTCAATAGAGAACCCACCACGATTAGGCCTAGGAGCAAACTACAAAACTTTATTAATCAAATATGGTTTACGTGCTTTAAATTTTTTTTTTGTTACGACATAATCTCTCAGCCATGTACTATACCTGGGGTCTATTAAATGTTTCAAAATTGAAATGTATTAAACCCAGTCTCATACGATTTTTACAGTAAGCTTTTTATGAACTTTGAGCGAAAAAGCTTTGTAATGGTTTGTTTCGTTAGTTTTTTGAACTTGAAGCAAAGATATCTCGACTATTACCTGTTCAAAACTACTGAAATTTGGTTATTTAAGTATACAGTCATATAAGATTGAAATAACAAAAAGCATCGATTATGATTGATGGTTATCGAGATATCTTCGCTCAAAGTTTAAAAAAGCTTTGCCGCAGCTTTTGTTTTAATAGTTATTTAAGTCTTGGCAGCCACTTAATTAAAATTAATGAAAGTTCTTATTTTAATTATATAGTTATATAGGTTTGAAATAAAATAAAAAAACTTCATCAATTTTAGATAGGTAGTCGTCAAGATATCTTCGTCAAGGTTTGAAAAGCTTTATCGTGGCGTTATTTTGATAACTTTCTAAGCTTATCTCGATGATAACCTATCGCCGTATATGGATGAAATTTTTTTTTTTTTAATTAGGCCACACAAATTTAATACTTTGGTTTTCATAACATGAAACTTTTGGCTGGCCGGCTTTTTTTTAAAAAAATTTCAAATATAAATTTTATAAAATTTTTGTAAAAATTTTTTTAAAAACCCATCCGGTTATTAAAACATAAAAAAAATTTTTATATTTTTACAAGCTTTAATTAATTTTGTATGGCCTTATATCATGTAGAACCGAAATAAAAAAATTTCATCAATTTTTGATAGGTGGTCATCGATGTGTTAGCTCAAAGTTTGAAAAAAAAAATTTCGCCGCGGCATGTTTTGGTAGTTTTCTAACTTTGTGCAAAGGTATCTTAACGACCATGTATCTAAATTGACGTTTTATTTTAACAATACAGTAATATTGAATCTAAACAAAAAAAAAAACTAATCAATTTTAAACGAGTGGTTTTCTAGATATCTTCGCTCAAAGTTTTAAAAAAACATTTTGATCATTGATTTCATCCAATCAGAATGTAACTGTTCAAGTCAGTGCTGGGCTATGACAAAGTCATAAACGGGTCGTATCACTATGTTTATTTAGTAAAATAATATGACAATTTCATATAAGTTTATTGTCGTAATTTGCGGCAAATAGTACCCCGGGTCTCTTAACTATTTGGGACGTCCCAAATTATGTGATGAATAATATTGCGTGAGGTATTTACCTCCGTATTGTTATTGCTGAAATCGTGTGATGCTATTCATCACATAATTTGGGACGTCCCAAATAGTTTGGGTAACATCGCTACTTACATTCCTAGGCCTTAAAAATTGAATAGTACCCCTCTGGACCGTCAATTGACTATTTAATTTGACTAAACTGACGCTAAATTGGTGGTGGGCGGGTACTAAACAAAGGGTACCGTTTGCCGCAAATTACGATAATCGAACATAGTGATAAGATCCGTTATGACTTTGTCATGAGCCAACACTAGTTCAAGTGGAATCTCATTTTAGTGCCAATTTTTTTCATATACTATCAAATCATGGCAAAAATAAAAAGCCTACCAAATAGGAAAATTAGTTTCACCATGATTGATTTTCATTATGATCACTCATAACACTTTGATAATACCATGCCGTATGCTCTTGTTATACAATTCTGTTATGCTCATAATTATACTTTCGATATTAGATTCACTTAATCTTAATCCAAAAATTTATTAGTTATACAGATCTAAAATGTATTAAAAAAGTCAAAATATAAAATACCTGTTCAGTAATCCCTGCAGTTGGCGTTGTAATCGTATTTGTTGTTCTGATTTAGTTTTATCATCTTCTGAAGCGCACAAGTTTGCAGCTTTATCACGAATATATGGCGGGAGATACTTGTCTAAAAAAATCAGGATACAGTGAGTTAACTTCTTTTGACGAATCCAGGATGTGAATTTCCTTGGGACACACAAAATTCTTTAAGTTCCATTTATTTTAAGGTCAACATTCGGATTAATATTTAAAGTTAGCAGGTATATCGCAAGTTTCTTAGGAAAAACCTTTACTATACCAAGAAAGTTATTAATCGTAGACCGTTACGTGTCCGGAAAATGTCACTTACATCCTGATGCGTTTACTTATTTAATTATTGTAGTTACTATATTATACCTAAATCAACTTTTTTGACATGCTCAACATCCGTACATTTATCTGCAACATTATTAGACTCGTTGATTTCAACGGCTACAGCGACTTCGCGAATGCTGTCTTTATAATATTCATTTGATTCATCTATTGCACTGCAATCCTCAAGATCTGGTTCTTCTGTTACGAAATTATCATAATTATCCTGAGAAAATAATCAGAATGAACTTGTGAAATTCGCGTAAGCTTCAAAATAAGATTTCAAATTTCACCTTTGCTTGCCCAGAACTCGGATCATTCGAAAATTTCGATGATCTCGTTCTTTTAGAGCCGATCTCAAGTCCTTCTAATAAATCTAATATCATATAACATTGCAAAATTCAGCAATTAAATTTGCACTCCAATGGCTGTCACAGTCAAAAAAAATAAATTTGATCTAAAAATAAATACTATCTAGTCCATCTTCAGAAAAAGCTTTCGTCAATTTTCCACCAGATTTAATTCCTAATTTTTTTTCTAAACGTTTAATTTCACGCTCTTCTGCATCTGACGATTTATTAAGTTTGGCAGTAACGGGCCCTTTGTCTGTTTTTCGGAGCTTTATTGGCTGTGACGGTAGAGTTGTTCGGCGAAACCTCTTCTGCATGATGAAACATGAACTAACGAGTCGAAATCCCAAATTATTCTGGCGGAGACGAAACCTAAAATCGAAAAGAAAGCAATAAAAAAAAAATCCTATATACTGATGATCTATGTGTCACCAACGCATCCCAAAAATATCAAATTGCAAAAATTTATTTGGGATATTGGCCGATATTTAGACAAAATTTGGATAAAAAAAATTTTTGAATATTTGGATTATTTTTATTAAAAAAAATTATTATTAATCAATTAATTGTAAAATTTATTAGTTACGTTAATTGAAATATAGCATGTTTAACATTTTCAGTGATTCCTGTATACGAAAAAACTTTTCTTTACAGCACATGAAGAAATAGGTAACCAAAAATAAACTAGAGCTATATTACTTAAAAGAGGAAGTGAAATAGACATTTTATCTCAAAATTCATCTAGATTATTAAAATCAACTAAAGCTAAATCCAAATTACAATAAAAACCCTATTCTTGTAATCAAGCATTAGAAGGATTTTTTAATTCTGGAATTTGAGTTGAATAATTTTGAATATTACGATTAGAAATAGTAAGTTTAACAAATCAGAAGTCAAAAACTTGTATAGCAATAAAAAGAGAACAGGAGAGATGTTACAAAAAATGATTATTAAATTTTGAATATGCAGTAGTAAAAGCTAATTGAAATACCTTATTAAAAATATATAGATCTGATTCAAGATTTGTAATACAAGAATTAACTTCATCCTTAAAATTCGTGTTATATTTTTTATTTTGTAAGTAAATTTCAAGTTGTTGGATTTGATTTTCAACAGAATTACAGGTTTATTTTTTTGCTAAAAAAAATTGAGATCAGAAATAAACTTTTTAGCATAATACTAAAAAATATCAGATAAATGTGTATTTGTTCATTTTTTTTATAGATATTAAAAATATTTACAATTTTTTTGACAGCTTTGGATAATCCAATTTTTACTTCTTTTTTATAAAATCTTTTAATATACTCTAAGTAATTATAGACATAAAATGTTATTCAAAATCATGTATTTTGATATATAATAACAGGTATAGAAATAAACTTTAATGACAAATTTAATTATTTTTTTTTTAAATATTAAGGTAAATACTTGCAACCTATGATTTCATTAATAGTACATTCAACTAATAGTTGCATTACAACTACAGGAAGCAATTTTGAAAAGAGTGTACAACTAGTTACTCATATAACTTTAGTCATTGTCTAATTTAAATAGTTCACTTAAAGGTTCTATACTAGTTATCATATCTGAAACCTACTTGTAAGTTTTTTATTTAAACACTCTAGTTCTTATATTTACCTATTTATCTACATTAATGACTCCAATCAATGTTAGTAAAAATATGTCATGATTACTAAGTTTTTAAAGCAGTTTACTTATATAGAGAATTTTTAACTTTATATTAAACCTTTTAAAATCTTCTATATTCTATTCTTACAGCTGATTTTGTAATGTTATAATTAAAACCAATACTTATGATTAGGATATATTATTAAATTATTATGTTCTTGTAAAGTTTATCCTAATTCTGATACTTACTTTATAATATATTCTTATTATTTTGATATTCAATTCAAATTTTATCAAACTTTTAGTTCAGATAGTCTAAAAAGATAGACATAATCATACTTTTGGTTTATATGTTCTCTAACATGTAACTTTTCCTCTGAAATAAAATTTAATAACCTAGTTAATTGTAATAGTTCTTTTCCAAAAATTCTATTTTTATCTAACTTTACAAGTTCTAGTTCTATTTTATAGATCTAGTCTTTATAATAATATTTTTTTTTTTTTTTTTTTTTCTCTAGACAGTCACGCTAATACTTTATTAAGATTTTTGCAATTGCTACAATTACATAAAAACTACCTAACAAATAAGTCTAGCATCACTTGGTCACCCTAATGGCACCTAAGTGCAACCTGTCGCATTACTTCAAGCAGAAGTAAATCACTCGTCTGACTACTTAAAGTTCATAATGAAAGGATCTTCCTCCTTTTACGACAAGCTCCAAAATTGTCTTCCTAGCTTCATCTTCGATTTGTTTTTTTCTCTCCTTTAATTATCGAGCAAGAGGATTCTATAATCCTTGCCTAAAGAACAATAGGATATAAGAAAGAAAAACTAAAAGGAAGTAAAAAAAAAAGGGGGGACTAACTACAAAACCTAAACATAAACCAAAAAAAAAATACAAAAAGTATCTATTACAATAGTATAAAAAAGTTTAAAAGAAGTA